TAACCTAAAAATTGCTAATAGTATTACTTTAAGGGTAAAAATCTGAAATAAATATAACCAAGAGATACCAACTTAGCATTTCGCCAAACCTCAAATGGGAATATGTCGTTTACTCTTTTATATAATATACGAGGCAAGAGCATATTGCATGGACTTTAACTACCTTTTAAACTGACAAATTAAAATTAAATAGGATCAAATTCTAAACTAAACTGATTAGAGAGATTCTGAGAACTGAGAAGAGAACATGGAGAATAAGATGAAAGATGTTCCTTTGCACACGATATGACACCACACAAAGCAAGTTTTATTTTTATGTGGGTGGATCGGGATGGGCCGCTTTGCCAGTTATTATCCTGCAAAATATAATTCACTTGATACACTTGTTATTCATTGTTAAATAGATCATTAAAATTTTATTATTTGAATTATTAAACCACTCGAAACTTGCAATTATTTTCGCTCTATAGCATTCATTTTACCCTTAAATTTACACCTCCATTCACTTTTCATCTTCTCTCCACCCATTCTCATTACCAATGGCTTCATCCCAAATTCTCAACAACTGTTATAAAATCAGCGAAAACTATTCCCTCCACCACCACCACCATGACGGCCGCCCCCACCACCGAACATAAACCTGCGAATAGAAGCATTTTCCACTGTAGCCCCTCTTATTCTAACCATTACCATAATCTTTTTTATTTGTGAAGGTGGTAAAAACTCATACGGTGATTTTGAAGGTGGTGCTCTTGGTGATGATGATAAGGAGGAGGAGGATTATACTCCACTCCGTTGATGCAATCTGAAGTTTTTGCTATCTCATGAGGCCATACTCTAGACGGGTTTCTTGTTAGCTCCAGCAAAGAATCCTTCACATGATCAGCTCGAACCATCTCGCTACTTTTTTTCTGCCACCAAGAAGTTCATAATAATTGGAACAACTAATATTAAGAGAGTAGTTTAGTTTTGGTATCTAAAATGTGTTCATAATTTTACCTTTACTTTGAACACATTAGAACCAAGTCCCCTAAAATGGGTTATATTTGCATTTGTCACCTACAGAACCAATGAATTCAAAGCTTCCATCAATTTTACAAATCCATCAGAATTATGTTCGCAAAACACTTTAATAAAGAACTCGTTTCCATCTAATGGAGCCACTTCAACTTGCACCTTCAACTGTACAATAAATTTGACATATTGAAATTCTAATTACAGAGAGGAAGGAGATATTATGTTGAGATTTTAGAGTACATTGCCTCCATTTGTTGTGTCTTGTCATTAGTGATTTCTAGGTCTTGATTCTGCACTTTAGGAAGAGTACTGCTATTACCTGAAGCAGCTGTTTGACTGAAAATCTATGGCTTCATGATGTTGTGGTTAACATTCATGCTTGCAGTATTGTTCTTGGGAGTCCCTTCATCATCTGAATGCTCCTCTAGTTCATCTTGAAGCTCTTTTATTTCCTTTAGCAACTCCTTTATAAAGTTATTGCGTCACTAAGGATTGAATCTTTATCCATCAGAAAACATCAAACATCCAATCATTCTATAATACTGATACAATTTACTGTTAGAAAATATAATATGAAAGTAAAAAGAAGAATGATTTACTTTTGAAATTTTAGGAACCAAAGCTTGAAGAGCATAAAGCCTATCATTAAGCTTCTTCCTTCTTTTCCTCTCAGCTACAAGGTTTTTAAATTGAGGTCCCTTCCCCGCTTGCCTCTGATACTTGGCATCATCCTCATCATCAATCTGGTCACTGCAATCTGAGATTGAATCTGACCGTCCATTCTAATGCACATTATTAACTGGTGATGAGAAACTAGCATCCATGTTGCGTGTAGTGACCATCCATTGATCTGCTGCATCGCACTGTGATAAAATCAATCACATGTGGATCTTCAAGTACCTGAAATTATCATGCATCAGCGGTAACACATACAACTAACTAGTTGTAAGCAATGTCTAGTTCGGTTTCTCAAACTAATCTTATATGTTAAACAAAAAGAATAAGGAGAGAGGGTAGTGTATACTTCTTTATTTGCTAAGTGCCAATAGCTCAATTAGTCCTCCCACCACTGGTATGAAGACCTTAGTCCAGACTGTTTCCTGAAAATTATCGAAAGAAAAGTGACGTTAGATCAATTTTTAAAGCGGAGAAATGTGCAACGGATGCACATCCATTCTGCGTTATGTCAATGGATATGAATGTTCTTAGTAGGGTACCTTCATAACATCTGCATCTGAGCTATTAGAGAACTTTATCTAGCTTGGATGGTTTGAAATCCAGGTTTGTGAATGATTAATCCTGAATAATTATGAAATAAGGTAATTAGTTATATAATTGAAATATTTATATATAAGTAATTAAAAAGAGTTACGCATATGAATGAATATATATATAAATATTTACCCCAAGTCTAGGGGAATAGAAGAAGGAAGTTGAGAAAGAAGTTCACAAGATTTAGTTCTTGGATGTTGAATTATAACATCCTTACAAGGAAGAATTGAAGAAACTGGAAAATGAAGCTGTGGCCATTAATATTGTTCATCTCAATTCCAGCACAACAGCAATCCATCCACTCAATAAATCTAAGTCAAAAGAGATTCATATTAATAATGTGATGCATAAACATAGATCATAAAAAAGAAAAGAAAAGAATCTAATTAACAGACCTTTAATCATCGCTGAGTTTCGAAAGAACACAGTAATCCTATCATTCAAATCCTATAGATTGCCTCAGTAGCTCCACTAAATTTTAGATAACTCTCATGTTACCAATTAAGTGAATGGAAACATTAAATTATGTTTATGTATAAATAAATATAAATGAAGATGTAGGTAACGTTGAGTGTTTGCATGAGAAAGAAGAGAGAATTTTGTGGTTAGCTTAGTTTGGAGAAAGGGAGAATTTTATATAATATATGAGGTAGGAGCATATTGCATGACCAAACTAACTTTTAAAGTTATAAATGCATCATCAAATGTAGTAGTATTAATACATAATTAAGGTGATGATGTGTTAAATAATATATCTTATGTAAATAAAGTGATGACTAGTGTTTTAAAATTTGACACGGTTCAACCGGGACTTGGGGCCTTCACCGGGCCGGATTACCAATTTTATTACTCATGGCAAACCTTAAAAATTAGGACAACGATTGACAAACAATTGGTGGCTAATACGTTAGGGGTTTTGAAGAAGAAATGCCTCGGGCCAAGTTTTAAAACCTAGGTGATGACATATTAGATGATATGACTATGCCACGTATGGCGACAATAGGAACGTGAAATTTGAGATTATCTTGACATAAATAGCATTAGTCTATATTTATATTCGGTTCATAATAGATGATTAATTGTTGAAACTAAGATGATTCTGTGCATATTTTGGTTTAGATGTTACCATGAATAGCAATGATTTAAAGTTAAATATGAGGCAGTTTCGTAACTTTCGCTTGATTGTTTAGATGTTACCATGAATAGCAATGATTCTATGCATATTTTGGTTTAGATGTTACCAAGCATTAATGCTCCTGTACTAAAAATAGAAATACTATTAAATGCATAATAGTATTTCTATAATCTAAAGACATAAACGCAAATCTGTCATATATATATAGGTGCGTTTCCCTTACAAAGAAGACTCCCTTTTGATCCATTACATAAAGGTCTCCCTGTAGCCATAATTCTCCAAACACTTTTAAGAAGAAACAAAAAGCACAAAATGGCTTCTTTCAAAGGCTACTTCTTTCAGGCTTCAATTCTACTGGGGATGATGCTATTCGTTGCACCTTCATTAGCAAGGGTAAATGTGAAGGTGACAAAGGGTGTTGTTAATGATATTTGTTCCAAGACACAGAATCCTTCTTTTTGCTTGGGGGTTCTTAATCAAATTCCTGGAGCAAGTACTGCAGATCTTCCAGGTCTAGCCAAAATCACTATTGACTTGGCAAGTTCTAATGCTACAAAAACCCTTCAACTAATCAAATCATTAGTCCCAAAAGCAACTAATGGTAAACTTAAGGAGAGATACGGAACTTGCTCTGAGCATTATGATAATGCCATTGGTGACCTTAATGATGCTCAACAATACTTGAAAACTGGTGATCCAATGGGCGCCAATTTATCAGCTTCAGCTTCCATGGATGAAGCCGGCGATTGTGATGATGAATTAAAAGGGCTTCCGGCGGATCCTTCAGTCCTGAAGGGCAACCAGGACCTAAATAACATTTGTAGTATTATTTTGGTTATTGCTAACCTTATACCCCGTTGAAACATGTTTGTTTCTAACAAATTAGTAACTATGAAATCAAATCATCAATAAATTACTCCAAATGTATTTTGTCTTTCTTAAATCCTTATAAATACATCCCTCATATCCATCTTTGTGACTTTCATATTTTCTTACAGCCTCAGCAAGACACCAATTGCTTGAGTCACAGTGGCAGATGTATCCATCAAGTATGGATTTCAACAAAGATTCTAATATAATAAAGTTTTAAGACCATTTTGCAGTCAATAACTTCAAATATTTTTTTTCTCTACTAACATTATGTGCAGACTCCACCTAGTCATTCACTTAGCAGTAACGATTTTGCACAGTGTGCTCACCAGAATAAGTTAATATCTCAACAACATATTGGATCAGCATCAGCCTTAAATATGAATAACTTTGGAGAGCAAAAGTAGAAGCACGCATATACTGATTGAACACATGGATAATGAGGGGCCCAGATGACCAATATCTTTCATCAACATAGTTCAATTGATAATCTAAAAACATTCCAAAAGCTGAATTGTGGAAAGAAAGAGACAGAATTTGAGAGTATCCATTTATTCTCTTAAATTTAGATTTACAGCACAATGTATTTCACCATCACCGTCATCAGCATTACATTTATATGATTCTCCAATCTTATTCAAGACAATGTACCTAATATCCAGGGATAACAAAAGCAAAAAGTTGATGAATGCATTACCAGCACAATTCATGAACGCAAAGTAGTAGGTTTGTAGTCTATCAATAGAACTTTATCCAAATGGGACAGGAACAAGTTTTCAAATTCAACATGCACAGGATGAGCTATATACTCTGCAACACCCTCTGCGCTCTCAAAGGTAGATTCAAAGATATGAGTGAAACCTTGATGCAGATTCTCAATACTCACAACCCTGCCCCTGTTGCAACACATAACAAAATGGCAAAAGGGTCAAGATTTTTTTAACTCAGGTACCAAAACCACACTAAGTTATTGTTTTAAACATCGCAATTTTCCAGAAATTGTGTAGATCCAGACAAGTATATTATAAGCGTAATTGGTTAAACAACTATAAGGGCAGGCTGGCAGCTATACGATTACTACAATGAGCCACCAGGTCTCAAGATTTGCATCAAAACATGCTTATGAAAAGATTAAGAGACAAATAACAGAAGGTTTGGTAAATTCTTCACAGAATGTAAAGTGCAATGCTTTTAAATCCCAGAAAGAGTATTATAATCTTTCAATAAGGCGCCATTAAAAATACCATAGTAGGATTTTCCAAAACTCATAAACCCCATAACCCATATAAACAATAAGCTAAACAAGATCGTATATTGAGTGTTTATCGTATTAATATTCAAAAGACTTCATGGGTTCGACGAGATTGACGAGATTAGCATAGCCTTTGATGAGCTGATCAATTTCTTCTGATTGTACCTCGTCTTTGAACCTAGCGAGTAACATGTGCTTCACCACTCCTTTAGCCTCTTCCATTTCCTAATCTCTCTGCCGCTCGAAATCTCTACCTTTGTTGCTCCTATACGGTGTTTTCCGCCCAACCCACCCTGAGCATATTTTTATTCATACAGATACAGTTGTATGACTTGTCCTACATCTTGTAATATGAGAAAAGACTAGACGTTTCTAGATAATTTATTTGAACGACTTATGGAACATAGTGCTTAGTGCATTAAAAAGAAATAATTAATTTGTCAAGCATAATGTTAGGTGTAAATGACTTCGTGTTGAAATGGTAGAAGGAAGGATGTTGTCTTTATTTTAACAGATCCCAATAATTTACTGTAGCAAAGCACACGCTAGAACTCTAAAATGCATTGAAGCTTTCTTTGATAGAAAGTGGGCACATTTTAACAAAAAGGGGCTCACATAGGTAGTGTTCAAGCCGATAGTTTGTCTTTTTTTTTGACCAATTCCCAAGTCCAAAATCACTTCCAAAATCATGGTTGGACTCCTTGCAACTTTTACAAAACTTATACCTCTACTTGCAGACCTCACTCATTATTTTCAACCACCTCCAACAGCCATTAACAATATTAGTTTAAAGGTGAGAATTTTGAATAAATACAACTAAATGTATCAACTTAAAATTTCGCCAATCCTCGACTGAGAATATGTTGTTTACTCTATTTTTATATGATCTATATTTTAAGGTCCAAAAATCATTTTGAACCTTTCAAACCCATTAAAAAAAATAGCATATGAATCACAATCCAATAACAAAATAAATATCTGAAATGTCTAATTAAGAACGTGACCATCAGCCACCCTGCTTGGCACCGCGATGCCACCAGAATTCATGGCCAAACAGCCCTACAAACACTCCATATTATCTCGAGGATGAGGTTATATAATTTCCCCGCAAGGGGGGCCTGCTAAGGGCCATAAAAGACTTAGTTCTAAAGAATCACGAATTCCATCACTTTTACACTCTGTTTTGCTACATTTTTTGATTTTGTATTTGACTTAATCGTCCGAGCGGGCAATTGACATTCACATACCTCTCCGCGACAACTTCTGCCTGATCGATTATTTTTTGGCTCAAACAATGATAATTAATTGTTAGAAATATTGGAGCAATTGGTGAGCCCATCATGACCAGCCCAGGCAGCTCAACAAGATGATCAAGTATACTGTCAAAAACTTGTATATCACATTCGAAGCCATGAATTAGCAAGATAGATTTAATATTTTAGCTCATTAAATTAATTCTATTTGACTATAACCTCAGATTAAAATCAGTAATCCAAATGAAACCAGTAAATACTAAATTTACTAAAATGAAGAATAGTGAAAAAAAATAAAAAAATAAAAACTTTTTTCTCTTACTGAGGTTGTGATTGCAGGAGTTTTGTCACTGCTTCTTGCACAATTAATTCCTGTGTTCAGAATTTTTCGTTATATCTGAAGTATTCAGACCCATATTATAATTTGCCTAATATAATCTAAGCATATTGCACACTCGTAATCTCAACAAACTGTTTGAAAGAAGAAAGTGAGAAAATTGAGTTTAATTAGTTATAGTCCTTATGTAAAAGAACTTTATATTTAACAAATTATGGTTCGCTTTATAAATTACAAATTTTATGTTATAAGTCCACTGCTGTAAAAAGTTTTTGGACAGCTGAACTTTGAAAAATAAAACATCTTAATATTTTTTTATTTGAAGGTAAGGTAATTGGCCACGCCTTGGTACAACTTGAACTAAAAACCGGGATAGGGATACTTTCAAGTTTCAACCATATGCCCCTCTATCCATTTGGCCACAAGTTGGTGGTTAAACATTGTAATATTTGATTTGCATGTAGCCAAAAAAAAAAAAAAAAAAAAACATATAAATAATTAATTAAAATATCATAAGATATTGACAACTTTCTTAATTAATTACATTCCTTATAAGTTTCCCAAAGGAAATTTGGCTTGAAATAATTATAGTTTTGCGATATTGAAATGTTATTTGGAAAAGTGAATATTTTTTGTCTATTTTTGCAGGACTTTTTTTATTTGATTATCAATATCTTCCTTCCCAAGATAATAATTCATTTCCTATTTGACGTTTATACTAAGATATTTTTTTGCCATGTATTTGGCATTACCTTTTATGGCATCAAAACCTTTATATAATATAATAAAACACGAGGATGGTGGTCCAATTATACAAAGGAATGTGGATAATAATATTGTATATGATATCTCTACTTAGTCAATATCAAAAGATTCTTATAGCTTTTCTCCTTTTAATTATTCCTTTGAGTTTCGGATCCAAATATGTATCTTTGCTTTCTCTTTAGCCTTCACAACAGATTGTAAACTACAGCAAGCTTCAGCTCAAGCAGCTAAAGTATTCAGTTCTTGAATATCGGTGCTTTCTGCATATCTCTCAACAAACTGCCAGTGGATCAAAATCAGTTGAACAAATTGACAAGTTGCAGTTGATATTGTTGTGCAAGTTGGCAAGGCTGTTACTCTTCTGTTATGCAAGTTGCATGGGTTGTTATTCTTTAGTTATGCAAGTTGACAAGTGGCCATGCAACTTGCATCAACGTAAACAATCCAATGGTTAGAGTAAACCTGTGTAACATAGAATGTGCGGTTGGGATTCCAGAGAAATGAGGCAACACGTGACCTGCTTTCGTTATAAATTGTGAATGTAAAAGACAGATTGTATTTAGAAAAAATGAGAAGGAAATAAGTGCTTCAGTACTGACTCTTTACTTTCTGTTTTAGAATCTTCATATTTTTCTTTATTGTTAGTGTGTTTTTTAATGGTATCAGAGCCTTAATTGACAAACGTCAATGGCTGATCCTAAGTCCTCTACATCAACTTACATCAACACTGATGGAAAGATCTCAAGTTCGGTATCATCTTTTCCTCTGGAAAATACTCTACCAAACATCACCGTGAAACTAGGAGAGAAGAACTATGCCCACTGGAAGTCACAAGTACTCGCTGCATTGAAAGCCTACGAACTGGAAGGTTTTGTTGTAGGTGATAAATTTTGTCTTTCACCTTACTTAATCTCTCAAAATGATAACTCTGGAAAAGCTGTTAACATAGAGTACACCATCTAGAAAAATTTAGATCAATTTCTGTTTGGCTGGTTGATATCTTCCATTTCTAAAACAATGTTTAGGTATTAGCAAATTGTGAAACAAGTTTTGATGTTTGGAAAACTTTAGAAATGCATTTTCTTACTGATTCGAAAGCTAGAATACTGCATCTGCGAAATCTTCTACAAACAACTAGAAAAGAAAATTTGAGCATCAATGACTATGTACTGAAAATGAAAGAAGTTGCTGGATCTTTAACTGCCAGTGGAGTAGTTGTTAACGATGAAGAGTTGCTTATGTACATTCTTGACGGCCTGGGAACCGAGTATGATGTAGTTGTAGCGAATTTAACCTCATGAAGTGGAGATGTTTCTCTTTAAGAAGCGTAGTTCCTATTACACAAGCATGAGGTGAGGTTGGAGAAACAACACTCAGCGTATATAGGATTTCATGAAGCAGCAGTCTTTCTTGCAAATAAACAGACTATGAACTCTCAGCCACATCAACGGAACTCAAATGTAATAGCTCATCAACCAAACCAACCTGTGTATGAACAATCTCAAGGATAGATAGAATCACAGAATGTCTATTGAAGTGGTCGAGACATGCATCAAACTATTAGAAGCTTTGGAAGAGGCCGTGGCAGAGGTAGAATTTTTTATAAACCAAGAATGATATGTCAACTATGTGGGAAAACTGGACACATGGCACTCCAATACTATCACAGATTTGATACAAATTTTCATGGTACTCAGAATCATAGGTATTAATCTGCACCAATTTTTTCTCCTACACAAGCTTACTTTGCTAACACATGCTCTGCACCTTACTATACGAACCAATCTTCCTTGGTTCCCATGGACACTATAAGTAATCAGTCTCCAGCACTGAAGTATTAGCCAAATGCCTTCACCTCTCAACAGTAGCAACCTTCAGGTTCAGCCACACGTGGTATTGAAATAGTTTTTGATAACCATCAGAATGGAAATTTTTCACAAATGGCTACTTCTTTTACAGTCATGGATCCGAATTGGTTCGTTGACTCAGGAGCAACTCACCATATCACTCATGACTTGCAGAATCTATCTCTCAAAAGTCAGTATAATGGTCCTGAAACTTTACAAGTTGGAAATGGACAAAACCTTGAAATCTCACACACAGGTATGACCACTCTTCCCTCAAATTATCTGAACAAATCCATTTACCTTCGGAATATACTCTGTGTACCTCATGTAACAAAAAATTTACTCAGTATCTGACAGGCTATTCGCAAGTGTACGAAATCGTGCAAGTAGTAAAACTTGAGTAAATGAGTGTCAAATCCCAAGGGAACTACCTACCAAGTACCAAACTATTATATTCTATTGCTATATGATTAAATTGAAGTTTAAGAATGAATTTAATGAAAAAGTAAATAAACTAACAACTAAAAATTAAGTACTGAATAAAAGTAGAACTTGTAAACACTTTGAAGTAAAAATCAATATGACTAAACCTAGGGCATAGATTTCGCACCAATTTAATCCTATGTATTGATATTTGTTGTTAACCTAATTAAGCCTATTCTAAAAGCCAAATCCCCTAATATTCCACCAACTCTCTCTCGAGCAATTAGCAAATTAACCCTTAAGCAACAACCCAAGTTATCTCTAAAATGGATTTAGGAGCTAAGAGATCATTAAGATCTATGGAATTTCCCGGAGCCTCACAGATCGCGGTAACCTATCTCTAGCGTTCGCTCAATCTATGGTTTTATTACCTTAGACAAATTAGGTTTCATCTCTCGATCTCAACCCAACCCATGATATCATTCAACTCTCGGATCCTTAAGAATTGAAAGCATTACACACAATAATAAAACTTAGAATTAATGCTCAATAAGAATTAACAACAATAAAGTCAACACATATTCATAAATTGGGCTACATCTTTAGCCCTAGAAAGAGAAT